TTGTAATTTCCGTGTTGCGATAGTCAAATGCATGCCTAATAAGTGATAACAACTGAATAACAAGAGTTGGTTAAGTCAAAATGGTTGGCCTGAGTCATTAATTCAACTGAAAATGTTAAAAGTTCACACATAAAATCCACATAATACAACGTTTGCATTTAAAAATCACCTAAGTTAACAGTCCCAAAAGGTGAAGCCAGTTGTGATTGGGATTTTAAAGATGATTGTCTTTTGCTTGACACCATATGAGCTTTGGATTTTGATGAGGATCCATATTTTGGTAGAGGAAAAGATGATTGTGATGGCACTGGTGATCCACATGTCAACCTTGTATGACCACTTTCCTTGCACCGACTACATGTCGATCTCTTCTTCTCTTCACCCTTAGACGGTATACGATCGTGACTTTTTGGTCGGCCAGGTAGCCTTCTGTCCATGGCTGGTGGCAAAACTGTTTGTAAGTTATCTGGTATGTCCCACTCAGAAGGATGTGGAATAGGGTAGACAATCTCGGCATAAGTCTGTCGATAAACTTCTGTAGTGTAGCAATCCATAGCGTATGCGCTTGAATCATCTTGGTTTAAATGAAGAGCAACTTTTATAACATGGCCACACGGATAACCAGATGTTTGCCATTTCATACAACTACACGTCTTTGCATTTAGATCGACCAGCCCATTTAAGTTATTATCCAGTACTTGAAACAAAGTGTTTGAACATGGTTCAACTCTCCATGACATTGACTTCACAACACGTTTCGTTATCTTTTTTTCAGTCCATGGTGTAACACGATGTTCCAATGTTCCTGTAAATTTAAATAAACAATACTTAGTAAAATATATAAATATGATAAGTTACGAATTCAAAGAAATAATACCTGCATGGTTTCTTTTCTTGTAGTACCACTGTTGAATAGAGGCTCGAAAAAACTCCATTAACATAGTAATGGGTAATTTCCGGGAATGACGACTTAGAGCGTTGATTGATTCTGCACTATTAGACGTCATGAAACCATATCTTGCTCCAAGTTGATGTACTCTTGACCATCTTTCAAACCCGACATCTTCTAGTGTTTGAGCACACTGAGGCAAAACACGTCTTAAACAATTTATATGCTTATTGAAATCCACTTCCCGATAAGCTTTTACAGCCTTCCAGTATGTCAATTTGTGCTTTTTTATACCAGCAGACCTTGATTTTAGATTTCTATACAAATGAACACCACAAAGTCCATGAAAAGCATCTGGGAAACACCTTCTAACAGCGTTGTCAATTGAGTTTGCCCTATCGGATATGATTGTCAGATTGCTAATAGGACCTATTCAATCCCTAAGATGCCCCATAAACCATGTCCATGAATCAGAGGTTTCAGATTTGCCAACCCCGTAAGCTATTGACAATATCCCATTATTAGCATCCATGGCTACTGCTAATAAGTTTACTCCAAGGTATCGACCTTTCAAATGTGCTCCGTCAACTATAATAACTGGGCGCATGCAAGTAATAAATGAACGAATCTACAAAATAATATACACAAGAAATATAATCATTTAAATGTGAAATGCATGTAACTAACAAAAATGAGTCAACAAAATTATATTGATTTACTAACCGTAGCACCAATGGCGATAAACAGCAACTCAAAGTGTCCATCTCTATCTGTTTTGATATGAGTTACCGACCCAGGATTTTTCAGCTTTAAATTGTGACAATAAGCCGGCAGTTGGGCAAACGATGCTTCTGGCGACCCCCTCAACAATTCCAAGGCATAACATTTGGCTCTCCAAGCTTGACAATATGATATACTAATCTTGAACCGAGCATTCATGTCAGTCATAATTTCATGTCCCCGATATACCCTACCATTCAAAAACATTAACTCAGCCAGAAAACCACCCAACACCTTTTTGTTTACCTGTCTATGGTGAGGAAAAACTTGGGTTCTTGAACATGTATGTTTATCAATAAAAGTCCTAACTTGAAACATTTCGCAATCTTTTATTCTCTTTGCAATCATACGCCACGTACAGTTTTTGTCAATCATACACCTTGTTTCGAAACGATCTTTGCTTGATTTGTTAACTTTTAGTTGATAGCCATCTTCCACACATTTCGTATACAAAGCTATCTTCAAGTCTTCCTTTGTATCAAAACAATCATCTTTCTTGATACGAATAACTTTTGTGTAACAATCAACTGCTTTCTTTACCAACTCTTTTTCCGGTATCTGAAGTAATTCTGGCATATTCCAGTTATACGCCCGTGGCATTTTCTTTTCTTCGGGACTTTTTTCTTCTTTTTCTTCTTCAGGATTATATGAATTACAGAATGGATGTTCAACATGTTCATTCACAGTCGTAACTTCCTCCTCATTATCATCAACAATATCTTCTTCGGCAACGGCTGTTTCATCATCAAAATTCGGGTATTGACCAATATCAAAATCATTACACGCAGGGTCTGTTTCTTCTTCTGAAACATCATCAAAATCCGTGTATTGACCAATATCAAAGTCCGGATATTGACCAAGACCAAATTTTGAATACTGACTAGTACTCACAATTTTTTCTGTTGGCTCATCATCGTCTAACTGGTCAATACGAAAACTGGAATTTGGTGCTGAAAGTTGATTGGGATTTGGATTAGAGAAAGGTTGTGGGTTTTGAGAAAAACTTAGTTGATTACTACCCGCTACTGACCCAACAATACTACTTCTAGGTTCAACAACATACAATGTAACATCATCTTGTGAAACACTAATGTAAGCAATGAATCGTTCAACATCTTCATTGTCGGTTAACAAATAAACTTTACCATTTCTCTGATAAGATAGCCTAAATCCACTTAGGGGCTCTAAATTCAATTTCTTTGAAACACGTAGCATTAGAGTTTCATAAGTTAACTTTTGTAAAGACAATTTTAGTTGAAGATTCATGGGTAAAGGCATATATTGTAAAACACCATGAACATTATCCCATGACCCTCCAAAACACAAATCTATCCAAACATGATCAACATTAGATGATTTCATGGTTGTAAATTAATTTACTAAACAGACGAGCTGCGAAACTAAAACCTGTTGCCGGATTGGGAAGGATGTCGTTGGATATAGGAACGGATGTCGCCGGAGAGAGTGATAGATGGAGATGGAATGAGTTGCGATTTAGGGATTTAGTTTATGATTTGCTGCTGTTGCGTAGTTATATACCCAAAATTTCAGTGTTGCGATTTACAGATTCTCGTTGCGATTTACGGATTATCGTTGCGATTTACAGATTCTCGTTGCGATTTACGGATTATCGTTGCGATTTACGGATACGCGTTGCGATTTACGGATACGCGTTGCGATTTACGGATACGCGTTGCGATTTACGGATACACGTTGCGGTTTACGGATACGCGTTGCGTACTACTTCTAGGTTCAACAACATACAATGTAACATCATCTTGTGAAACACTAATGTAAGCAATGAATCGTTCAACATCTTCATTGTCGGTTAACAAATAAACTTTACCATTTCTCTGATAAGATAGCCTAAATCCACTTAGGGGCTCTAAATTCAATTTCTTTGAAACACGTAGCATTAGAGTTTCATAAGTTAAATTTTGTAAAGACAATTTTAGTTGAAGATTCATGGGTAAAGGCATATATTGTAAAACACCATGAACATTCTCCCATGACCCTCCAAAACACAAATCTATCCAAACATGATCAACATTAGATGATTTCATGGTTGTAAATTAATTTACTAAACAGACGAGCTGCGAAACTAAAACCTGTTGCCGGATTGGGAAGGATGTCGTTGGATATAGGAACGGATGTCGCCGGAGAGAGTGATAGATGGAGATGAAATGAGTTGCGATTTAGGGATTTAGTTTATGATTTGCTGCTGTTGCGTAGTTATATACCCAAAATTTCAGTGTTGTGATTTACAGATTCTCGTTGCGATTTACGGATTATCGTTGCGATTTACAGATTCTCGTTGCGATTTACGGATTATCGTTGCGATTTACGGATACGCGTTGCGATTTACGGATACGCGTTGCTATTTACGGATACACGTTGCGGTTTACGGATACGCGTTGCGATTTATGTGTTCGCGTTGCGATTTTCATATTCGCGTTGCGATTCTGGAAAATCGCAATGCGAATTTGTACTATCGCATTGCGATTTTCAAGAATCGCGTTGCGATTTTGGAAACTGATTTACGATTCTGGGGATCGCGTTGCGATTTTTATTTCGCGTTGCGATTTTGTTGGTCATTTTGACAAATCTAAAAAAAATTGATTAAAATCGTATATTATAAGGCATTTTTGGTCACTGAGACGATTTTCTCTTATTTCTACCCGTGTCATTTTTGTTTTTCATGGCAAAACTCATCAATCTTCTAAAAATAATTTACTTTTCTATTTTATTTCATCTTCTACCTTCAATCCCATTAAGTAAAATTCTGGATCCCCCACAGTGAGAAAACCCAAGAACACGGGATCTCATTCTCGCTGCAAGGATTCATGCAACAATGCACAGAGCTAATTCATTTTCTGTAATTATCATGAATACTACAAATGCAAAGAAAACTCAAAATACAACTAAGCAACCAATTAAGAAGAATAGAAAAAATAACATCTCTAAAAGGAGAGAAAGGGAGTGTGAAGATCGTTAAGAAGAAGGCATGCAGCATGGATGAGACATGAAATCCGAGAGACAAGAAATTAGGGGTGTTAAATCGGATGAGAAATGCTTAAGTTTGGGGGAGAAAAAGAAACGGTGTTAAACTAAATGAAAATTGACCAGTCAAATTGAAGAAACATCATGAGAGAGACACAAAAAGTGCATGGGAATTTTGTTCGAGATTAAAAGGGCTATTCATAATGTTTTGGTGCCACTTTGATGTTTCCTTTTTCTAGTCGAGCGAGCCCACAAAGGAACTGATTTAAAATGACTTCCTTTTCGGCCTCAAAGCCCACAAAGGGAAGATTATACAGTTTGACAGCTTATAAAAAGGGGTAAAAAGAAAGCAGCAACCGATATCCTACCGACGGCGACTCAGTATGGCCGGTCGTAACAACCTTACGCCGCCTTCATCTCTAACCCGCTCCATGATTGAACGTCACACCACTCATCAACACCACCACCTCGAAGATCGAATTGCCATCCAACACCGCGAGATCCAATCCCTCCTCCTCGACAACCAACGCCTCGCCGCGGCCCATGTGGCCCTCAAACAGGATCTTGCACTCTCCCAGCAGGAAATCCGCCATTTATCGTCGGCCGCTGCTAACGTCAAATCCGAGAGGGACGCCGAGGTGAGGGAGATCTACGAGAGCTCACTGAAAATGGACTCCGAGGCGCGTGCCGTCGATGCGATGACCTCTGAGTTGGCTAGGGTACGGGATGATGTAAAGAAACTAATGGTGGATAACCAGGAGCTAAAGACGCAGTTGGAAGCTGTCAACGATGAGCTAGTCAAGGCAAGAATGGAGGCGAAGCAAGTTCCCGTACTTATGGCGGATATTGAAGCTGTAAGGAAAGAAATCCATAAAGGAGGGTAATTCTCTGCAAAATTTCTTCTTTAAACTGTGGATGAAATTTGGGGGATTATCGATTGCCATTTCTTTGATTATTCCAAGATTGCGAAGGCAGAGGTTTGAAAAGGAAGTCGTCAGTTTCATTCTATGATAAATGCTATATGATAATTTGGTACTTGAGTCTAGAAGCTAACTGCAAATAAAATGAGCATAGAGATTATCTTTAATTTTAAACTATTTAAAGATTGAAAATTTAAGTGACTGTGAAAAGCTTGTTCAGATTTGAGGATAAGGGATGTGTACCCCCAAATAACACCATCCTATATGCTGGTGGATGAGGATGATTTAGGGTACCAGAAAATGCAGTATTTGGAAGTGATTGCTTTGTTAAGAATGCCTTAAAATGGATGCTCACATACCCATTTTTTTAAGTTGCATTTGAGTAATTCTGGGTTTGTGAATTCAACTTCAACCAATTGCTTATTCCGTTCATTTCAATATAGGTGTTTAATGTGTGTCAATACACCAGGTAGTAAATAAGAACTTACTGTTGAAAGAACATAACCTTCCAACATATAGAGTAGTGGTTTTAAATGGATGTGGTTGATACAATACACAGTCATTAAACCAGTAAAATTGTATCAACCAGTTAGTCGGTAGAGAAACGCCAATTGGTGTTACCTTATAAAACCATGTTTTTGTATGTAATAGGTCTGCTATTGAACTTGAGAAGAAGACACGTGCTAGCAACCTTGAACAGCGTCATATACTTGAAAAAAATATGGCCCTTGTGTCTCGGGAACTAGAGAAACTACATTCAGAACTTGCCAATGCAGAGCAGAGAGCAAGGGAGACAGCAGCTGTACCAACGACAGCAATCACAAACCCAAGTAATGTGATCTACTCGTCTTGTTCTCTGATAAGTTTAATCTTAACTTTCTTGGATAAATTCTTAACCTTTTAACATCCTTGCATTCAGACCCCACATACACTGGAAACTATGGAAATATTGATCCCAACTATGGAGGAAGTTATTCCATGCCTCAGGTATGTTTTGCTTTGAGAATATTGAGCCCTTTTCTGATTTCACTTTAAATCTACAATCCAATTCATAAGTGGAGATGGTAGACTGCATGAAACTTGAGAAAGTAACCCCATCATGGGTTCTCAACTTATTTCCAAAGGTGAAACCGTGGAAGCGTAAGCCTACATTGATTGGTTGATTGGTACTTTGTTTTATGCATGCTACTACTGACGTTCTACAACCGTTTGACAACTGGGTGATCGAGAAGTGTTTTATACTTGATTTCAGGCTGTTGTTGCATGTCCGCAATTTGTAGCTGGAGCTGGGACGATGCCCCCGGTTACTGTAGAGGGCCAAGGGTCTCATACACCTAGTGTGAATGGTTTACCTTCTGTGTCGGGAACAGTTTCTACTATTCCCTCTGAAAACCAAATAGTTCAGCTATAACCATTCTTAACTTTTATATAAAATCCAATATCTGAAATTAGAACGACTTGGGCAATGCTTCGATGAGAATGTGCACTTGCTTTAGATCAAATATAATGCACAACTTGAAATTGACAAGTTCATGTAGAATCAACTTATTTATTTGTCGTATTAATAATTTCATCTTTTACGGCAGCTTGTTTAATAAATATATAATACATATAATCAAGCAACAGAAGTAAATGAATTAATTATTGTTGGAATGAAGAGCAGGGTTCAAATGCTTCATCCATCCATTAATATTTAATATGGTTTTCTGCTGAACCAAAAAAAAGAGTACTTCGGAATGTCTCCTGCCCTAGCCACATAACTAAAGGGGCTACAGATTAGCTCACCATCACTCATTGAAACGCTAACACAGCCAACTCATAGGTCAGAGCTAAGAAAAGCATCATGAAGTAGACCATAATACTCAAAACTCGCCATCCACTATCCTACAACTAACTTGTCATACTTGAGGAAACTCGCAGTAGCCACTTCGTGCATGATCCATTATTGAATGCCATATTCAACAACATACCGTGCCAATCAACCACTTATTGAGAAAAACTACACGCACAATTGCATTCAGCATATAAAAACTACTACCATTATTGGGGTTAGAAGTCAAGCCCAAAACAGAAACCTATTTGCCTACATCAGAGCATAAGGCCTCAGGATTGTGATCAGTATATGCTGCCATACAATGATCCAAAACTGATTCTTCAATTGTCCAACATTTAATGAATTTGAATTTTCAAAAGCAACTAATAAAAACTACTTCATAGCATGGGAAGCAAAACCCCATCATCTATACACATGCTTTTATAATTCACAAGTTAGTTCCACAACATCAAATGATGAGGAGAAGAGCAACAAATTCAAATCCCCCAACAAGGGGATATTCCCAAATGAAAGGGTATATGAGATTTGAAATAGCAGCACTCACCTGAAATTATCAACCTACCATAGCAGGAAGCAATTTGAAGTTAATCCACTTGCTTCTATAAAAGGATCCACACAAATCCAATCAATCCAGTGCCTAAAATAAACCCCCTCCATCTAACAGTAGACAGGAGAGAGGAGAAAAAGTAGTATTGCCCAAACAAGGGAACAACCTACATCTGAGTCTCCTGTTCAAGAACAACCCTGTGAATGGGGACAACTACAACCCTTAGATAATAATTCTTAGTACATAAAATACTGGAAGCTGAAAGTCTCTTAGTATGGACGTGAACGGTTTCCACCATAGTGATGTCTATCTGGCCCAGAACCTCCATCCCTGCGCCTGTCCCCACCACCACCATATCCACCTCTACCGCCTCTGTCAAATAACACCATTCAACAACGTAGCCTCAATAAAAACAATTTATATTATATGAGCCAAGAACATTTTGACCTTTTTAAAAACAGGACATAATTTTAGGTAAACTTTCTATTGTTTACTATACAGTAACAAGCTTAAGGGACAACCTAATAATACCATACGCAAACCACGCACAAGTTTTAAAAGAAAGCCGCTAACAGTAGTTAGAGGTGATCATTTGAGATTTGGTTTCCAATTGGTAATTGGTAAATTACAGTAAGCAAAACCTTCAAACTAGGAATTCGGCATGGTAACATACAATTTAGCAGAAAGAGAAAATGGGCATAGTATGTTCATAAACTTCATGTAGAAACAATTAAAGATATATATGAACTAAAGAAAAAACCAAGGTTAAAATGATACCCATGATCATGTACTTTAGGCGCAGTCTTCTCAGCCATTGCCACACTGATTGTATAGCCTCTCATGACATGATCTAAGAAAGAAGATTCCACAAGTGTTAGGACAAACGTTTGAGGTAACAAACTAAATGAAGAAAAGCTCAGTTGTATACTGTTAAAGAAACCGCCAGCAGAGTGTGCAGCTTGAGGATCTTCATAAGACAAAACCGCATCACCTTTTGGGTTTCCTTTCTCATCAGTGTATATTTTTATATTCCATGGCCACTGATCTTTATATCCACGCTTCTGCTTAATTCTTCCAACCTAAACAAGTGACCACGAAAACAAGGAACAGAATAAAGCAAATATCAAATGCACAATTATATTAAACAAAAGTGATATCAGCTCTGGAAATAAAATAAAAACACCAGGATGCAATAGATTGCATAATACCCATCCAAAAGAACAGTGATTTAAAATATAAGATATGACCATTACTTGTCCAATGCCGCCAAAAAGGTCTTTTAATTCTTCAATAGTACAATCAGGTGGTAAATTTGATATGTAGATTCTCCTATTGTCACAAGAATCCCCGCAGTTGTCATCACATTGCTTGATCTTACCTGGTGCATCAGTAGAAGGACCACCATAACCACCTGCCTGATGTGGAGGACCACCAGACCCATAACCGCTGTCATATCCACCAGGATTTCCAACCCGACCACCGGTTCTTGCATCACTCAAACCCTTACCACCATAACCACCTGCAGGGCCTCCATAAGATGAAGGGTATGATGTTGGTCCACCAGTATAGCTTGTAGGTGGAGGCACTGAACCCATTCCATAATTTGTATTCCCATCATATGCATTAGGAGGAGGTGGGTAACTTCCACCAGCACCGCCACTATAAGAACTGGGTGCCGAAGGAGGAACATGACCATACCCACCATCTTCCCCTCTTTGATTTCCTCCATAGGAACCACTCCTATTATCATAATTTCCACCTCTGTCTCCATGGTTGTTACTCCTCCCACTATCATATCCACCTCTTATTCCATCTCTACCTCCACGATTAGCACCATATCCCCCACCACCACCTCTGTTATACCCACTACTACCACGATCACCAGAACCCACAGGAGAGGATGCGCCGCATTTGTTACACTCAACTCTTCTTGCAAAGTTCAAGTTCCCACAGCTACATAAACATACCAGTTTAAATTTCACAAAGGCAGGCAACCAACGCTAACATTAAAATATCAGCAAACCAAAATTTAGCTGTCTAAAACTAACAGTACAACTGCAGAACGAGGGGACCTTCCCCATGGAAAAGATAAAAATACCTGGGGTTCGGGCAAAGCCAATCACCATCTCTGCCTCCTCCTCCTCTTCCACGGCCACCCCCTCTTCCACCGCCACCCCTTCCACCACGGTCTCCTCCTTGATAGCCTCCACCGCCTCCTGCAGAATCCATGTCCAATCCATTGAAAACAAGAACAAAGGTAAAAGACGGATCAATCACCGTCCAACCCAGAAAAACAACTACGAGAAACTTACGGTCGACAACAGCAACCCACAAATCAACAAAAAGAAAACAATTAACCACGATGAAAATTACCGCGGTTTTGAGAACTGCGACCGTATCCATCACCTCCCCCTCTTACGCCGCCACGGCCACCGTAACCAGGGTCCCCTCCATAACCGCCATGTCCACCAGCATATGAAGGCGGAGCAGCTTCGCCTCCTTGACCGTACATCCTTTAAAGATGAATCTAGGGGTTTTGGGTATACTTGATCTTATCCCCCTTGAAGAGAAAGATGCATCTAGGGTGCAATAAAAATTGGAGTAGTGTGATGTGAAATATAAAAGGCCATGCTTTGCTTATTTATTAGGTGCGTTTGGTTCCTAGGGAATAAAAGATTATCGATGAATAAATTATACGAAATTTTGTATTTTGTGTTTAATTGGTTTTTGTTAAATAATTAAAAGATTATTAGAATATATATTTGATCAAATTATTTTTATTATATATATTTTTTAATAATTTGAATTCTACTATAATATTACTAATTTATCATAGAATTTATATAATTTTTTTTACAAAATTGAAAAGATAAATAAGTTTAATGAAAGGGTAAAATTTTATCTTAATTCCTGAACTTCATATAAAATTTTAATTATAGTTTTTTTTATAAATCTAAAATAGTTTAAAGATAAATTTGTAATTTAACCTTTGTATAATTTTGATTATTCAACGACAGAAGAATGATATTTTTGAAAGAAAATTTTTTTAAGTACATTTTAGTCTAAAATGCTGGTAATCTAATAATACCTGAGGGAAGGGAGGTAATCACATTCCCGATAATATACCCTAAAAAATTCACTGTTGATAATAAAAGATTATCGGAAATGAGATTAACGGCCAATCAAACGAGGAATGAAGATTTCATTCTCCGGATAATACAATATTCCTTAAACCAAACGGGGGCCTTAGTGTATTTTTTGACTGGCTGCCATATTTTTAATCCTATGATTGTGTTTATAGTTTGAAGCCTAACCGGCATTGTTTTTGGGCTTCAGAAATCAAAACGGACTGCTGTACATTGAAACTGGCTCCTCATTCCAAGCCCAAGGTCCAGGCCCTTGCAACTGTAGTTCACATCCATCCTAGATGAATTTCGGTGCAACTTTTATTTTATTTGAATGCCGGTTATCAAACTGTTTTGATCTTTATTTACTTTATTCGTTGAGGAATTTTTTAGACATTGAAAACGTGCACACGTCTTATAAATATAATTATTTGAATTTGAAATTTTAGAGTGAATAATACTCTCTTCTACCATTTAATATTTATATATGAAATATACAAGGATGAACACATGATCTTTATATTAAGATGTGAACTTATGAGAGGTGAATTTATAAATTTTTAGGGAAAAATATCAATTATCAATAAGAAAATATAACCAACATTACTAAAATATATGAGAATTTGAAATTTTTAAGGAGAACAGTTGTCTCCACCTATTTGCTTCAGTCCAATCCTACAATACAAATACGCATTTAAATTATTATAAAAAAGAAGATGATTATAACTATATCAAACATCTTTTTTTTTTAAATAATAATGATTTTATTAATATTATGAAATAAATCCAAGTGTGGGAAAAGGGAAGCATTGGTGATGTATTGGGCGATAGTCTTTGTCCTGCATCATTGCCACCCTAAGAGAAGATAAAGAGGAATGATAAACAGTCGAAGCAATTTGTTAGAGAAATATATGCCCCAGAGATGCTGTCGGCGACCGAACAAACAGG